AAAAAGGAATGCTACCATTAATATCATATTTACTTCTCATCTATGGTGTGAGTGTGGGTGTGGGTGGGGTGTGGGTGTGGGTGTGGATGTGGATGTGGGTGTGGGTGTGGGTGTGGGTGTGTGGGTGTCGGTGTGGGTGTGGGTGCGGGTGTGCGTGTGGGTGTGGGTGCGGGGTGTGTGGTGTGGGTGTGGGTGTGGGTGTGGGTGTGGTTGTGGGTGTTGGTATTCTAATCTCTCACACCACACACCCCACACCCCACACCCACACCCACCCTAGTATAACACGTTTCGACGTTTATACTTACTATTTAAATTAATTTACTGACCTTTAAATATATTAACAAACCAGTTATTTTAATAACTGACCATTTAAATAATTTACTGATCATTCATTTTTTACTGACCATTCATTTATTCTACTGATCATTTCATTTATTTTACTGACCATAAATTATATTCCCATTAATATTTAATTTTACAAAAAAAATAAGAATTGAAAGAAAATAAGATGGGAAATCGAAATAGGTTGAAATTTTCAAGATAATCACGAAGCAACAATCTAATTCAATGTTGTAAAAAACAATTAGTAAGAAAATGATCGAATAGTTTCAAGTTTTTTCTCTATCTTGTTTTAAACGAAAGCTTATCAATACGGTTTCTAGCAGAGATAAAAATCGTCACCTTATATTGATTTTTGTATTACAAAATCAATTGATGTATGATAATTGTAAGATTTGAGGGTGTGGATGTGTGTGTGTGAGGTATGGGGGTACGAGTGTGAGTATGAGGAGAGGATTAACACCCATACCCACCCTTAGTATTGTTAAAATTTTTATTGGTTTAGAAAAAGAAGAAAAATTTTCGGGATTGTAGATTTCTGAAAACATGCAAACGGAGGCGATTAGGAATATTGATATTATTTTCAAATATGAAAAGCACTAAGAACCTAACCAGCGAACGCCTTAGAAAAAATACAGCGACAACATGTTTTTATTGACTTTCCTCTCATTTGGCCAACGCCAATATGTTGTCGATAGAATCATTGAAAGTGTTACAAACGCGATGCTAATCTTCTTAGTACTCATATAAAATAATTAACTTTCACTATATACATCAAAGGATGTGAATGCTGATGTGATCGATGAGGAGAGAAACACTCATACCCACACCCTCCTATGCTGTGCAATAAGAAATATAATATCTATAATTTTATTCATGGTATTCGTACTGGGTAGTCTCAGAGAAATATTTTCGTAGCTAACAATGATATTAGCAACAAGAAAAATGACTCATGCAAAACACTTTATTTTAAATACTGTATATCTATGCATGTTGAGCAAACTTTTCTTTCATCAATTGAAATAAAATATAGTAAACATTAATTCATCAATATATGTCAATCAATCAAAATTAAAACAAATATTATGCAATTGGTGAGAGTATTCCTTTTTTTTCTAATTATTATGAATCTTGAACGCTTATTTTATCAAAACCAACAAATAACCATTTTTGCAATACCTAATTACTCACTTCATCTTCTTAACAATGACATTTCACATCAAATTTTTTCATATTAAATATGTAATTAAAATAGTGACACACATTCAATAATAATAATCATCATCAAGAATTCTATAATCAGAATACAGATAGAATTGAAGATGTACACATTACTATATTAACAATTAAAGCTGAATATTCAATCAAACAAAAGACGAGTTGAAAAAGTTGTTGCTTTTCAATAAATTGAAAGTCTTTTTTGAACTCTATTTATTCATTATTTTATCCGTTGTCATGTTATACATTGATAAAAAGAAAAAGAAAACTCGATAGGACACTAGAAATGTGATAATCATGTATTTTGTTAATACGAAAAGTAGCTAAAAATTAATGACAAAACAAATAAATATGTAAACTAGAACTGAATTCTTTATTTTTTTTCTTGATTAAAATGACAAAAATGCTAGAATGTGAACAAATCATTTTCTGAACAATTTCAAAAAAAGAAGCAGAAAACAAAAGGTTTTGTTTCAGACAAATATTTTTGTCGTTATTAATTGTACAAGTCATCATCATCATCATTCTTGCCACGACCACTAGCACCTATTAAAGAAATAAAAGACCAATAAAGTCATAGTTTAGAAATGAAAACTTACCATTTCCACCATGTGAAAGTCGTTCTTGATTAGAAAAACGAAATTGTGAACCAAAACCTCGTGATTGTTGTAGTGTATTAGCAAACATTTCATATTTACGTATATCATTATCACTTACTGATCGTCGTGCATATTTCATAGCTTTTTCAAAATGATCTCGACGGATTTCTAGTACAGGATCAGGTTCATCATCATCCATTGCTCTCTGTCGTGTACGTTCTCGTTCTTTTTCTCGAATTATGTGCTTTTCAATTGATTCACGTATAGCTAATTGACAAGCTCGTTGAGAAATTTTTTTTAAATCTGTACCACTAAAACCTTTAGTAACGTTAGCCAAATATCGCATATCAACATCTTTAGCAACAGGTGATTTCCTTAGAGTAGCGTTAAGAATAGCTAAACGAGATTTTTCATCAGGTAATGGAATATAAATTAATTCATCAAGACGTCCTATATATAAAGAATATATTATTTTCATTATACAAGAAGATAAATTATTTCTTTTTTAATATTATTATAATTAAAGAGAAAGAAGATTATGTTTTCACCTGGACGAAGAATATCTGGATCGATAATATCCGGTCGATTTGTGGCAACAATAATAAAAACATTCCTTGCATCATCCATACCATCCATTTCAGTTTATATCTCATTCATAATACGATCAGCGACGTCGCCACCCTCATTAACACTACTCCGACGAGATTTAGCTGAAAAAAGAAAATTTTACGATTATTATTCATGTGTGTTTTTTAAGCTCTCTTACCAATTGAAGCTAACTCATCAAAGAAGAGTACACATGGTGCAACTTGACGGGCTTTATCAAAAATATCACGTATATTAGCTTCTGATTCACCTAACCACATTCTCAATAATTCAGGACCTTTAACTGAAATAAAGTTTGCTTGACATTCATTAGCAATAGCTTCTGCTAATAATGTTTTACCTAAAAAAAAGAATATATTAACAATCTAAATAAGAAAACAAATATAAATTAACTTACCACAACCCGGAGGTCCATAAAAAAGTACACCACGTGATGGTGTCATACCAAATTTAAGAAATTCTTCTGGATGTTCAAGTGGATATTGAATGAGTTCTTGTAATTCACGTTTAATATTTTCTAAACCACCAATATCTTCCCATGTAACAGTTGGTACTTCAAGAGCAGTTTCACGTAACGCTGATGACTTTGATTGATTACATGCAAAATGAAAGTTTTCTTGTGTTACAACTAATGAATCAAGAACTTCAGCATCAATTGTATCTTCTTCTAAATCAATAAAATCCATTTTTTCACGTATTTGTTGTAAAGCAGCTTCTGAACATAATGATGCTAAATCAGCACCAACATAACCATGTGTTTCATTCCCAAGTTGTACTAAATCAACATCATCACCTAATTTCATATTTTTTGTATGTATACGAAGTATTTCTAAACGACCAACAGCATCCGGTATACCAATATCAACTTCACGATCAAAACGACCAAAACGACGTAATGCTGGATCAACTGAATTCGGTCGATTTGTTGCAGCCATAACAATAACACGTGAACGTTGTTTAAGACCACCCATTAATGTTAATAATTGTGATACAATACGACGTTCAACTTCACCATGTGTTTTTTCACGTTTTGGTGCTATGGCATCAAGTTCATCAATAAAAATAATAGCTGGAGAATTCTATAAAAAAAAAGTTTGATAAGTATTATGAGTTATTCTACATAATGATATAGTTGATTTCTTTTTTTCATGTAAACAGCAATCCTTTTATCTAAATAAAATCCAGATGATATTTGTTTATTATACCTTTTCAGCTTCTTCGAAAGCCTTTCGTAAAATTGATTCGAATTCATCAGATAATTTCGACCTAATTTCCGGCCCATTAAATAAATATAAGAATGCACCTATTTCATTAGCCACAGCACGTGCAATTAAAGTTTTACCTAAATAATATATAATTTAGAAATAAGTTTTCTCCTTTTTTAGTTCTGATCATACCAGTGCCCGGTGGACCATATAATAAAATACATCTTGGTGGTTTAATACCAAATGTTTTAAATAATTGTGGATGTCTTAATGGTAATTCAATCATTTCTTTAATTTTTGCTAGTTGTCTTCTACAACCACCAATATCATCATAACCAATTTCATTTAATGATGCTTCTTCTTCTTCACGTTTTATTGGATCACCTTCACAATGTATAACTGTATCAGGTGCAACAATACAATATGGACTTGGTTCAGTTTCAATAACTTTATATTCAACAGCACGCATTGCTGCACGTACAATAAATACATCACCTTTACGTACAGGTCTATATGCTTCAACAAAATATGGTTTTAAATAAACTTCAAATAAATTTCCTGTTATTCCTTCAACTGTATCATCAATTGGTAAGACATGTATACGTTTACCATATTTAACATCTTGACAACCTTGTATTGATACAATATCACCTGAACGTACACGTAAATTATTACGTACAACACGATTCATTCTAATACGATCATTTTGACATGTATCATCAGCAAGTACAATACATATTGTTTCACGACGTTTTTTACCTTTAAGTAAAACCGTATCACCACGAAATAATTGTAATTCATCCATTTTTAATTGTGATAATGCTACAACACTATTATCATCATTAATAGCATCGTCGATAATTAAACGATTAGGACGTTCTTTTCGATTTAATATAGCTGTTGCATATTTATCTTCTTTATTTGGATCAATTGGTTTAGCCATTTTGTATTGAAATTCAATAACAAAAAAATAAAAGAATTAATCTAAAGATTAGATCTATAAATATATATAGAGAGAGTTCATATAGACAAAAATGAAAAGAAGAAGAAAAAAAAACACACACGGTAGGAATATCTCGTATAAACAAAGAAACAAATATTATCCTAAATATTTTTTTTTTTTTTTATAAAATAACATTTTCATGACTATTTGCTGGTGTTAATGAACTAGTTGATGATTGAGGATGTTGTTTTGATAATGATGGATTCATTGGACGAACAGGAGATCGTGATGGAGTTACGGAACCTGGATTTTGATGATGTGATGATGGTGATGCTTGTCCAGGTAATATTTTTGATGGACGAGAATTTGAACCAGATGATGGAGAAAATTGTCGATTCTATGATATTAAAACAAACAAAAAATATATTATATTTAGTTTATATGTTACTTTAAAACTATGATTTTATTAATTTAAATGCTAAAAGAAAAAGTTTCATGCGACTACTACTGATAAAATCTCTCTTTTTAACATACTATCAATATAGAATAATACAATTTCCTAGTATATTCTATTGCTAGGAAAATATTCTAGAATCAATCAATAAGAAGAATAGATAATATTCTATCTGACTTAGAATAAAAGAATAGATATTAATAGTTTGCACGCAATGATCCCTAGATATATCATAATTAACAAAAATAAAAAAAAACAAATGTTTTCTTTCTTATTTTTAAATAAAAAATCTAGTCTTTATTTTATTAACAATTATTATTTTGTCATACAAATTCTTATTCATTTTAGATCAATTATATACAAATGAACTGTTTGA